GAATTCGTAATAAGCAACTCAAAGGACCCATAGATACTGAATTTCGGAAAGATTGGCGCGATGAAACGTTGTTAGTGTCAAACTTCCTTGGTAGATAGTGAACCACTTTGACCCTCTATATCTCTCGAAACCAATCGTGTGCTCAATGTAAAACTCTCTTGTGATTAATGTCTCATCATGAACCGTCATTAATTCGTGTTAAAATTTATTTCAAAAATCGGGGACTAAAATACGGACACTTTCTGTGGAGGTTCTTTGCTCGACTCGACGAGTCGGCTCAGTTTTTCCGCGCGGTGCGCGCAACGATCTTCAACAGAGCGTCGACGATTGCGCGCGCAAGGCCGTCGACGACGATTTCGCGCGCGGGATGTTTCGTTAGCGCCGCCGAGACGCGCGTGTTTGCCGAGCAAACCGAACAGCCGAGGAGGACGCGACGACGAAACCTCGCGGTGCTTTGTCGGGGGCCAGCCTGCTGCCGTCGCGCTTATCGATTATTTATCCGCTCATTCTCGCCGTGCGGAAACGCTCGCGAGCGCGCCGTGTCTTTTTCCCCTTCTCTCTCTCTCTCTCTCTCTCTCTCGCCTACACGTGCGTGCGTGCGTGTGTCTCTCAGGTCGCCGAAACACGGAACGCACGCGAGAAACAGAGGAATTCAACGTCCGCAAACACCTTGTCCCCTCCCCTCCCCTGCCCCGCCCCCTCGCTGCCTGTCTCCGAGGATTCCCGACGTAATTGTTCGCGGAAACGCCCGCGATCGAGATAACTCGAGGATACACACACACACACACACGTGTCTCAAGCGCGCGAATCAATATCGGTGGCGCGTTATTCGTCTCGCGAACGTGCAATTTCGCCGTCGGCGGGAGATAACGCCGCCGAATGTGCTCGCGAAACGAGTCGATAAGAGCCGAGTTTGCGAAATCGCCGCTTCCGTCACTCGGCGATTCCGCGATTCGGCGAGAGAGAATAGCTATGACGCAACAGTCGCCGCCGCCGCCGCGCGAGGTGCGCGCACGTAGAATAAATTGACGTGACGCGAGAGCGATCTCGATTCGAGACGCGCTCGATTTTCCTGCCGATCGACTGCCTTTCGGTCGAGCGTGTCGAGCCCGCTTGAATTCTTCATCGAACGGTGGTGCAACGTCGGTGAACCGTTCCGAGTAAGAAAAAAATAATAGCAGAGAGATAGGCGATCTCTGAAAATCGATCCTTTCCTGCTCGATTTTTCAGCAGATTGACTCTTTCAAACGCCACCCCGTTGACCTCTTTGCTAAAGCGAGACGACATCGGTGAGCCGTTGGTACTACTGGGATGAGCGATGTTCGAAAATACATCGATGTTTAAAATATCGCTTGATAAAAAGAAATTGAAATTACATGGATTATTTATTCTAAAAAAAA